AACCCCAAAACCCCAAAACCCCAAATGATTGAATTCATGAGTTTAATAGACCTAGAGGAAAATCAAATTTGAATAATTGAATTTAAACAGATTGTTAGATTTTAATTGCGCTATAACCTCAATAATATTCAAAATGGACAGTGATGAACCCAGCGATAGCTAACGAATTCCGTCTTCAATAGGCTGGAATATGACCCCAGCTCCTCAAACCCCAATAGAAGACCCGTCATCTAACAGTGTATACTAGTTATGGCTTCATAATTAGCGGTAGCCAAGCTCTACTGGCACACCTTATTTCAATTCTGGCACATATATTACTAATATTACAACATCCTCATAACTAACAAATCAAACATAAGGATAGTAAATTCAAATCAACACATACAAACAACAATAGATTTAATAGCAATAAGATGTTGAAATGGCCGATGATTAAAAAATAAAGCCAAGAATTAGGTTTAAAGATCTCGGAACCAAGAAATATGAAAGATCAAACTATAAGCATTACCTAGAAATGCTATAGCTAGACTAAAGATTTAGACACTAGACTATAAAAGATGTGTTCAGAATAGATGAAATACAGCATTTGGTCTTTATAGATACTAGAGATGTCCTAAACTCAACATTCTAAGTATAATGGCTAGGATTTAGGAGTTGGTGTACTCTTTAAACTGGTTAATAACTCTTAATGGAAAAAACCAGTTCCCCTCACAGAGTCTTCATGATTAAGCAAGCAATAGAGAGAACTTATCAAATGCCAGAATTTCACTGTGATTCTAAAAAGAACAAATGCGGAGGGATGAAATACTGCCCTAAATTTCATGAAGAAGATATGAAGGCATAGCTGGATAGTTTGGATGAAAACTGCCAAATGTACTTCAATTATGGAAAGGTTTTTGATGAGTTGGAGGAAATGACTCTAGTATCCGAGAATTATTACATGCTAACTGAAATGAGAAATTACTTCTATTCCTTGAACACTGATTAATAGATTGAGTTCGCACTCAGTTTCTACAACAAGTATTCTAACTAATTTGAAAATTACTAAGAGGAGTTTTCTAACGTATTAGAAGAATCAATTCGATTTGTCTATAAGAATTACAGAGGAGTTGAGTTTGATTCACAAATTAAAGAAGATAAGAATGTCAAAAAATCAAGAGGAAAAAAATGACTTTCAAAGATTATTTGTAAAATATAAATGAGACTATGGAATTGAGCAGGGAAATAGATTTTTATGATTGGGCTTTTGGTAATATATAATTTAACATAATTATGATTCTTCGCTTTTGATATAGAAATTATTCTCAGTTGAATTACTATAGATTGTGTTTTTGGGTTTATATTATTTCATTTACTGATTATTTTTCATAAAAAATAGTAACGGGGTTTTGGGGTTTTGGGGAGATCGGA